TGATTCTATGATATGTAGCGACAGAACTCCATCTTTAGCGAATGTATCAGAGTATAATATTATTAACTGTATCCATTGAACTTTTCAGTTCTCTAAGTTGGCAGATGTGATGTTTGACAGAATCTTAACAAGCATTTGCCATCTTTGTGTGTTTGGTTTTTTACTTCTATTGTTTTATTCTTTCACACTTTCCAAGTTCTTTGTCAGTTAATATGTTGATACGATTTGATTGTATCTGCCAGAACTGGTAAAGATGATGCGGCTTGCTCAGTCTCCAAAGAACATCTTGAAGTACATTTAGACCAAGAGAACACACAACTGGATGGTTGTGATTCAGCAACTGCACATGCAGAAACGAGCGCTGCTCCACAGGAAAACATCACTGTTGCTGGGAGTGAACAAAAATCATGTGAAACATACAAGGCACTGCTTCATTCAGGAATGGATGAAATCTATAAATCCCCTGTTATACCTGAAGCAAAAATTTTTCAAGCTGTAGTAAGTTGCGTTGGACCTGATGGAACTATTTATATAATACCAAAATCATTTGGTAAGATTACATAGAAGAACATACGGTTATGTCTATGAATCTGATATCTGGTATATTCTGATACAGCAGAGTTACATATTCTAGTATACACCTTCTGTATCAGAACAGAGTTCTGGAAGAATCCTGTTGGGACAACTGCTGTTGGGAAGTGATGAGGCCTTTGGCCTGGGGGGTGAGGGGTGTGTGCACTTGCTCTGCAGTGGTTGGGAGAGGTCCCACCACTTCCCAGCAGAGGAAGCCCGTATCCACAGGAGGCAACACTCTGTCCTTAAACCCATGAAAGTCAGCTTTCCTGAACTCCCATCGTGGCAGGAAGTCAGAAACCCCAAAGTACTTGGACAGGCAGGCTACTTGCCTCTCTTCTCTAGGCAGTATTGGGTAAAGGGGGGTTGGAACTGGATGGTCTTTAAGGTCCCTTCCAACCCAAATGATCCTATGATTCTGTGATTCTAAAGCAGCAAGTGCTTTCTGTTACAGTGTTGAAATTGTGATATATTTTACTACTAATAATGAAGATACAGTCTTAAAGATTCTCAGAAGTTAGCCTGGTTCTCAGATATTTCTGGATTGTTTTTTCCTTCAGGGAAAGCTCAGTGCCCAGCTTCCTTGGGCTGTTCACTTGTACTGTGATAGATTGTGTCTCTCTTAGTATTTTCTGTTTGTACTATTTGAAAGAGGAACATTTTCATCTGACAGATGCAGCGTCAGACTTCAGTACAATGATAATACATTGTGCTTTTGAGAAATGTTTCCGTATGAGAATATTTTTTTTTTTATTCCACAAATACATCTAACTGTTACATCATAGCCTAAAAATTTGAAATACGAAGTACAGTAACCCCACTTGCCTAAGACTTGTTTCGTGGTGCCCTACCACTGTCTCTGGGAATCTGTTGTCTTGTTTACAGAGAGGCTCTTGTGTTACTGCTGCCATGGCGTCAGTTGCAAAATTTATAGACCCTCTCTGAGATGAGAAATTAGAATTATTAATGGCTTCACAATTGGAAATAGTTCACTCTTTGTTCAAGACAGCACTTGTTTGCTTATACTAGAAGTTGTACATACATACTGTGTTGGCATTGGAAAACTTTTTTTTGGAGCAGCACATGTATTTTATGTTTATACATATCTTCATCTGAATCTGCTGGGTTTCAGTGATTGAAATAATTTGCCCTAATTCATTAGGTTGAATTTTATTCCTCCTTCCCCCCCCAGAAATTGAACTAAAAAATTTGATGACTGAAATACAGAGTAATTTCAGATGCCTCAGTCTTCTGGAGCCCTACTGCTGGAAGAAGGGAGAAGCTTGTGTTGTAAGAGGGTCAGATACCATGTGGTATCGAGGTAAAGTTGTAGAGCTCAGTGGTAGTACTCTGCAGGTAAGTTTGTGTATTACGTCCTGTGTGAGTGCATGAACCTGTGCACGTGTATGTAAAAAAAAAAAAAAAAAAAAAAAAGGGAGGGAGGGGGTGTGCACAAATAATATAATCCTCTAAATCTGTGATCCCACCTTTTTTCGTTCAGCTGAACTGACTATCCAGATGCTCATTCTGCTTAAAAGTGTGATAACTGTCCTGATTTTTACATTTATTTTAAAGATTTATATGCCTATTTCAGTTGTTACAATTTTTCCCATTGTTTTCATGGTGATTATAAATGTTCTTGATTAAAAACCTACCCTTGATCACCTGTACGTACTCCTTTTTTGTTTTTTCTTGTTCTGTTGTTGCTGTTACCCTACGTGAAATGCTTTGAAAATATTTAGCTTCCACCTAACCCTGTCCTCACCCAAAAAGTAGTGGCTGAGAGTTTGTTTTGAATTCGTTCTGCTGCAGGGGTAGAGATATGCCTTTTCTGATTAGCAGTTAATCTTACTAAACTCATGAGTCCGTTCATGCTTTTCGAATGTAGATTTGCAAGTCTGACGCTGTCCTAGCTCACAAATGTTTGTTTTAGACTGCTCTAGGTTATTACATAAAAGGTAGAATCTTTTGCAAGACCGGTTTAAAAATTGACTTCTAATCTGCCATACCAGTTTTTAGTCCTTTCCTTCATTTCCCCTATGTCACATCACCTCCTTACCAGCAAACCATTATTTTTGCCTCCAGAAAAGTGAATGCTGTAAATGAACCCTTTCTCTTAATAAAGTTGGCTTACAACCCAGGAATTGTTTCAGGAAAGCTTTTCTTTCCATCCAGGTACAGTACATAGACCGTGGTTGCATAGAGAGGATTCCTCAGTGTCATCTGTATCCAACTACACTATATGTTGGTATCCCTCCGTTTTGCATACCATGTGAGCTCTACAAGACAGCACCAGTGAGTAATGGTAAATTTGAAGGTGGTAGTAGGTGGTAACTCAAATCGGTACACCAGCCAGTCATAGAGGTTGAGACTAGTTGCTGGTATTCTTTCTTCCCCACGAGCATTCAGAGACTAGCTGACAAGGATCATTTCAGCAGGGCAGCCTTGTATCGGGAAATGCCAGATTGCTTTGTGAAACGACAGTGTTTTACAACTGGAATTAGATCTTTGTGAGACAGGGCAGTGCAGCAGTTGGCAGGAGGATGCTCTGAAGTGGTAGTTCGTTTTGCAGTAGCAGCAACAAAAAGTAAGGCTGGGATTTCTGAATGCAAAAAGGCCAGACAAGCCCTGCAAAAGCATTTCTGTCGTTCTGAACCTAGCTGTGCAGCAGAAAATCTGTTAGGCTGTATTTACACAAGTGAATTGTTTCAGGGGGTTTTGTTAGTAAGTGATTGATATGTAAAATGCATCTTCACATATCATTGCATCCTATTCAAATTTGAAAGGTGCATTTAGTATCTGTCCATTACTGAAATGACTAGCTTGCTTTTAAACTCATCTTTAAAGAAAACCTTTTTATTGCTGGAAGCAGTAAGACTGGTTTATAAACCCGCGGCTTGGAGGCAAATGGATATTGCAGGAAACACAAGAAGTATTTAAAGTACCCTGTGTTTTCTGCTGTCTGTTAGGTTATCTGCAGGTGTAATTCTGTATCTTGGGGTTCATGCTTCGTGTAATAGTACAAACATACATTATTGTGTATGTAGTAAAGGTTGATCTTGGCAAGCAGCATCTCTTTCTAATACAGCCACTTCAAGATCCAAAAACTGCTGGTCGGCTTTGTCACACAGTAATTTTTAGGGTACCAAATAGCAGATAATGTTTAAACTGTTTGCAGACAAATTGAACTATTGATGTGTGTTTTCAAATAAGTTTTTCAATGATAGGCATGTATTTTCATCTTAACTGTATTAAAAAAAATAAGAATATTAATTCTCAGCATCTTAATATGTGGGGCTTTCATGCTTTTCCCCAAATAGATTGGAAAGTGTTGGCAGCAGGATGCTGTAGATTGCCTTCAAGAGCTGCTTACAAATGAAGAGGTTGAAATACATGTTCAGGTAGCTTAATTTATTCATAGATGTAGAATAAGGCTGAATTCTTTAACTTCTTTTTTTTTTTTTGCTTTTAACTTGCATTCAGAAGGAACGTAGCAGTAAATGCATTCCTCAGACAAACCAAAATCCAAAGCTTAATCTGTGTTGTCTGAAAACCTGCAATTTCAGATAGTTTATTGCTAATGATAAATTGTGAAAGGGAAGGGTTATTGGTGAGTGAGTGAACATGGGATAATGTTTTGGTGTTAGACCGGGTAGTCAGTGCTGCCATTCCAGACACAGATATATTGACATCTCTGTCCTAACTGATGTTAAGACCCATCCTTGCTGGTGTGATATCCTTGGTGAATGAGTGTGGTGCATATAGGAATGGCTGGTTTGAATTTCCCGGTCAGTCATGCTATTGCTGTTATAATGTTTGTTTCTCCTGTGTAAATAGGAGTTACCAGATAACCCATGGGGCAAGTTGTCTGTCAACCTGTATTTTGGTGAAATGTCCCTTTCTTCCTTCATGGCATACCAGAAGTACTGTGTTACTGAGGATTGTCAGGACGTGCTAAAGCTGGTAAGATTTTGTGTGAGGGTGGGTCTTTTGCCATTGTTACTCTGACATTGGAAAGATGACTGAGTTGCTTGTTGTGACCTCTGATGATTTGTTATTTCTTCTTATATTTCTGTACAGTTTTGTGATGCAAACAGCAGCAAGACCAGGTACACAGCTCTGTAGCATAACAAGTGCAGCTACGATGCATTGCTAACTTTGTATGGAATAACGAATTGCCAAGAGTTTGTTCTTGGACTCCTTAATTAAGAGATTTTTGCATTCCTGTCTGATGTCCATTTCGTTTTTGTGTTCCTCTAAAACTTAAAAGGGTAGGAATAGGGTAATATTTTTATCGCTTGAAGGGATTAGTTAATCATAGAAATATACCCAAGGATGGAGATATTCAAAAGTGAATTCAATCAAGTATTTCAACATAAGCCTAGTGATTTCTAAGGGAGTTACCTAGGTTCTTCACTCCAGGTATCTGGGATAGCCAGCTGGAGTTCTTTGGTGAAAATTTCAGTCCTTCTCTGAACTTTATTCTTAACACAAAATATTAGATAAGTAATTTCTCTGTATTTTTTTATTCTTGAAATCTGAGAATCAGGTTTATTTAAATCACTGAGGCTTTGTTGTTGCGTTTTTCTCTCCAATTTGGTGTAAGTCTGCCAATGTATTTTTCTTTCCAACATGAGTCTTTGCTTCAGAAAATAACATTACGCTACAGAGTTCACTGCTGTCACTGCTGATGTAAGTCTTGGCATGTGTACCAGTGGGTAACAGTGATGCAGTTACGAAGATCTCTGTGTGTATTAGGACTGAGTAACCATAGACAACCTAATTGTAAATCAGTCTCGTGTTGCGTTTTCATAAGGTCAGCACGTGACACACAACTTCCTGCAAACTCAGTATGGATCTTGGAATGAGATGTACCCTTAAAACAGAAATAAGTCTGTGTAAGAGGGCTGTATTCTGTTCCATGGCTGCTGTACTTCTGTTAAAAGTAGCAGGAAGCTGGCTCAGGCAGAGCCCACTACACCTGTGTCTTGCTGCAGAATGTGTACTGTCTGAGACACGCTTCTGTTGAGTGGCACAGGTGAATTTAGGAGCTGGTCTTCATTACCATATGATGATCCCAGCTTACTCATTAGCCAGAAAATTCTCTAGTAGGATATTGGAGAGTATAGCAGAACCCCAAGTGTGATGAGCTTACAGCAGCGAATCTCGTTCTAGGGGTGTGTGTACATTTATGTGTGTTCATGTGTATACTTATATAGGCACTTGTATACTTACCTACATATACAAGACCATTGTACTGTGGTATTTGTTGAGTTGGCTGTTTGGAAGATAGGGGGTTTTTTTGTTTGTTTGTTTTTGTTTCTGTATGTCTGAGCCACAACTGAGTAGGCAGGTCATGCCTTGTGTCATGGGGGACTAGGATTTCATTTGACAGACAAGTTTTTAATCTCTTCGTTCTGAGCTCAGCATAAACTAACAATTTTTGGAATTACTTTTTCTGTAGCAGTTGACTACAAACCATTTCCAACCATCTGAACCAAAATCAGCTCAAAATTCCTTACACAGACCATTTTTGTATTTAACTGTGCTGCATATCAGCCCCTTCACAGTGAGATGCTTGAAGACTGCAGATTTTAAACTCAGTCTGAGCAAACCCTTGGCCAGACTGTTCCGTCTTACTCTGCCCCTGGAAATGCCAATGCTGGTTTTTTGGAATAGTTTATTACTTCAGGTCAGAGCAAGGATGGTGCACTTTAAACTGCTCTTGACCTATTGGCCGTATCCCTTCAGTTAGCACCTGCCTTCTGAAGGACAGCAAAGACAATGCTGAAAAGACTTCAGGAAAAGCCATCTTTGATGTTACTGACCTGTAGTCAGCTGAACACTTTCAGGGTGTCTAGCAGCTGCTCAGCCTACCAGCAGTTCTAGAGAGATCTGTGTCCTTTCGGGCAGAGAGAAACCTTTAGGTGGAAGATCTAGTAGTAACCAATCTACTGAGAGTAAGAAAAGACTGTTAACATTAACAGCAAAAATGCAAGTGCAGTTTTCCTTCAAAGACACGCACAAGAGCTGACTACAATACCCAACTGAGCTACATGCAGCGCCCAGTTGGGAATGAGCTGGAATCTTAAGTTGGTTCTTCAGAACCAGATGTAGTCAGGTGGCCTGTCACAGTGTTCCTGATTGTTTTGCCGAAATTTGGCATTTATCTTTGTGTCTCTGACAGAGTCATAAATCCTTTCTTTACTAGCATTTATTAAGATAGGGGTTTTAATCTTAGGAGTACTTACTTTCAAAGGAAAAGCTGTTTTTTTCCTAGTTAAGTCTGAGGAACATGATCGTTTTTTGTACCGTGTACTATGTCAAATCATGCAGGGTGAAGAAAGGGTCAGAATTTATTGTTTTGTGTTGCAGTGACATATATCTAGTTGCTTTTACTTTTTGTTCTGGGCATAATGAAAACTGTTCATGCAATAGGTATATTTAAAAATGTATTTTGGAGAAATTGTACCTTTTGTTATTTATCATATGAAAGTGTAAGAGAGAATAAGCACTGTGTTCGTGGCCTATGATTGGCTGAGCTGTGCATCCTTACAAAAGCATATTTTAATGCAGCAAGGCTTACTTTGTCATGAACCAAGTGAGTTAATGGCACCTAGAACTCAAACTGTAAATAGGTGGTTCTGGAAGAACACACTGGAGCATGCTGTGCTAGTGAGATAGCATGTATCGGAACTTGGCAAAATCTGTTCCCTTTTTGAAGCAGCGATAATTCTGGTTATTAAGGAGTTAAATTATCCTTTGCCTTTCTCTCTTAAGGAGTAACTTGCTCTGAGAAGCCGCAGTAACATTCAGTATGGCATTCAGGTTAATCTGTGCCAATTAATTGCTATTATTTTAATGTTTCTTTCTAAATACATTCTCTATTCAAAGGGAATTCCATATTTAATGCATTTTTTAATTAATGGCAGTCAAGTTTGCAGGTCAGTGTGTTAGGACCTTTCCAAAGCTATAGTCTTTGTATTCTAAAAATGTTGATTAACTAGTTTGTTACCTTTTAGCTAAAAGCTTTTAAAAAATCATAATAAGTATGGAAAGGAAATGTTGATTAATATTTTTATCATCAGGGACACACTGTTTAGATTATTAGATAACTCCTTTGAACCAGAAATCACACAAAAGCTAGTTTGTGTTTTGTTACTAAATACAATGCCTGACTGAAGTCTGCCTTGGCCTAGGAGCTGCTTGAAGGAGACATTCCTGTTTTGTCTTCATACACGTCACCACTGCTGCCTCTTCCAGGAGTTACCTTTCCTGTCAGAGTTACCCACTTGGTGTCCCCTAAGGAGGTATGTTTTGTAAACATGTCATGTACGCACTCAGGAAATGTTGCAGTGCAACTATCTGAATGAACTTTTACTTGAAATACCTTCTTGAGTGGAGGCAGAGAAAGAAATACTGACCATTTCCGTAAAAAGAGAAAAGAATTTCAAGAATTACAGTACTGCAGCCCGGTATGTACCTTGTATAATAAGAAAATAGGTCATTGGATTTTAACTTGTCAGAAGAATAATGATTTCCTTCTTCTTTATTCTCCACAAATTAAATTACTGGAATGTAGTATAGTAATGTGAACATTTTCACACTGTTACAGCTCTATTTTACTGCCTTTGGTCGAGGACTGGTCACTGATTTTTGTGTAAACCCACACAGTTTCCCTGTAGTAGTCCCCCGGGCAAAAGGCTGAATGTAATGTTCACTGATCAAATAAAAGGTTCCTTTGTGGACGTTGTTCAGTGTTGATAGAGGAGAACAAGGAAGCAGTGAGAAGCCAATCGTGTTCCAAAATCTAATGTCACCTGAGTGGATTGATTCATACTGGAGGGCTTGTGTTCGTTGTCTTGGTAAACCGGTAAACCTGTAAACCAATGACAGGCTTTGTAACAGTGAAGTGACTGCTTTAAATTCAGCATCACGGTCCAATATAAATTCACCCCACTAATTAGTTTACTTGGGTGTACACATCTTCTAAAAAAAAAAAAGTGTGTATATACGACTCTTTTCCCTAAATACAAGATGGGAATCTTAGGGTATATTGGGAAAGGGCTTTTCTTAAGTTGTGTGTATTCTGCTTCCTCTCTTAGAGGAGGAACATAACAGTGAATAATTTTTGATTCAGTTTGTGCAAATGATTTGAACTCTTGCTTTTGAACACAGTATGTAATTGTAACCACCAGATCCTGCTCTGGACTCCTGTGGATTTAAGTAGCAGTTGCATGACAGAGTTGCAGCGTGATTATACTATGTACAGATCAGAAAAGTAAAAATAATTTCATTGCTGGCCAGTGAATTTTAATTCTGCATTTAGAAACAATAATAACCTACTCATTAGTTTGTTTGGACTATCAGTAAAATATCATAGAATCATAGAATGGTTTGGGTTGGAAGGGACCTTAAAGACCATCTAGTTCCAACCCCCCTGCCATGGGCAGGGACACCTTCCACTAGACCAGGTTGCTCAAAGCCTCATCCAGCCTGGCCTTGAACACTTCCAGGGATGGGGCATCCACAGCTTCTCTGGGCAACCTGTGCCAGGGCCTCACCACCCTCTGTGGGAAGAACTTCTTCCTGATATCTAATCTAACCCTCCCCGCTTTCAATTTAAACCCGTTACCCCTTGTCCTGTCACTACAGGCCCTTGTAAAAAGCCCCCCCCAGCTTCCTTGTAGCCCCTTCAGGTACTGGAAGGCTGATACCGTAATGTTCTGAAATGGCTCTGGGTTGTTTTTTTTAAAAAAGGGCATTTCAGTTAGCTGTTGCACAGATTTTAATTCGCCTGTGCATGTTGTTTAAGCATTCGTTTCCTTGACCTACAGTATCATGCTGATGATCCAGTTATAAATGAGGTGAATTAAGTGTCTTTGTGTAGCAAACCAAACACTGTTTCAGAAGTTCTTCTTTGGTTAACTTTAAAATTCATCTTGGGCTTGATGCTATGAAGTGACATCGTTTACCAAGGAGCAGGAGGGGAGAACCCTCCTGAGACACAGCTGTGAGATCTTACGTGGGTATATCCTCTAGTACATGTGGTCCTTTCATTCTTGTTTTTTAACACTGAAACGTGTCAATAAATCATTGCTATTTTCTTCTTTTTGGGGGAAAAAAAAAGTGTAACTATGAAATTATTCATAAACTGAGAAAGGAGGAAAGAGGGAACAAGGATGTGCAGAACCTGTCGAAGATGAGAAGTAATCTTCTAATAATCCTTGATCACTGATGGAATTTGAAGGTTCTAAATCCCCTGCAAATATTGTAATGAGATCCTTTTCTTTGAGTAGATGTACATTTGCCTTGAACCCTCTAAGAACCTTACGAGGGAGTCTGCCACAGAGGGAGATGCCAGCTGGCACTCAGCATTGGAGAGTCTCAATGAAGCCCTGAAATGGTGCAATGAAAACGTGGAGGCTCTTCCCCTTCTAACACACTTCAAAGCAGGTAGATATGTGTTTTCCTTGTTGTTCCATGTGGATGTACAAAAAGCCTGAAATTATTTCTGAAGAATAGGAATAATTGCATTTCTGTGTATCTTTATTTAAAGTTTCTGCAGTGTAAGAATCGTAGAATCACAGAATGGTTTGGGTTGGAAGGGACCTCAAAGACCACCTAGTTCCAACCCCCCTGCCATGGGCAGGGACACCTTCCACTAGACCAGGTTGCTCAAAGCCTCATCCAGCCTGGCCTTGAACACTTCCAGGGATGGGGCATCCACAGCTTCTCTGGGCAACCTCACCCCCCTCTCCGTGACGAACTTCTTCCTGATATCCAATCTAAACCTCCCCACTTTGAATTTAAACCCGTTACCCAGTCGCACTGCACTATGATCATACAATACACTGTAATCAGGAGTGTAGAAAAAGGAGGCTGAGGGGAGACCTCATCGCTCTCTACAGCTCCCTGATAGGAGGTTGCAGAGAGGTGCTCATCGCTCTCTACAGCTCCCTGAAAGGAGGTTGCAGAGAGGTGGGGGTTGGTCTCTTCTCCCAAGTGACAAGCGACAGGACAAGAGGAAACAGCCTCAAGTTGTGCCAGCGGCGGTTTAGATTGGATATTAAGGAAAATTCCTTCACTGGAAGGGTTGTTAGACATTGGAAGAGGCTGCCCAGGGAGGTGGTGGAGTCACCATCCCCACAGATACTTAGGTGTAGATGTGTACATGTGGCATTTAGGGACGTGGTTTAGTGGTGGAATTGGCAGTGTAGCGTGTACGGTTGGACTCGATGTTCTTAAAGATCTTTTCCAACCTAAATGATTCTATTCTTTAGTTATAAGCTTTTACTTTTCATGAAATTGAGATTTCTGTCTCATTCTGCTCCACTGGAAAATGATGGAAAGACCTCAGACTTCTGATGCCTGTTAAAATTTAGGCAGCATCTGCCTTGTGTCGTCCAGACTATTGTCTGTTCTCTTACAGATCGATCTGTTTACTGACTGAGATGTGCAAGTGAGTTGAAATTGAAAAGTTTAAATGTTAAACACTTTGGTTCACTACCCAGCAATTTTCTGTTAATTCTCATCATTGCCATGTGAGGTGGAGAGACTTAAGTTACATACTAGGTATCGTGACCTGGAGTTCAGAGGGAGCTGGAGGGTGCAGAGAACAAAATAGTAGCATGGACCAGAGAAGGAAGCGAAAAAACTTAATCCCTGTCACAAAGTGAAGTGGATTTTCAAGTTCTGTTAGTTTGCACTGCAAGTATGTTTTGGGATGTTCTGGTTTTTCTTTTGACAGAAAAGCCCTGCCTTGTCAAATACCTGGATGGTTTATGGTACAGAGCAAAGCTCCTCTCCGTTGAAGAGTTTGACCCTGTCAAGATCCTGGTTCAGTTTGTTGATTTTGGCAGTTTTTCAGTTGTCCCAAGGAGCAGGTAAATACCTAAGAAAAAAATGCATATGTGAGTATGAATGTCTACACTTACATTATAAAATAGGTACTTACAAAAAAGCGTATGTGTTCTTACTCTATTACTTATCTTTGCATAACTCTAGCTACATGATTTATAATAATTTAGCGTTGGATTTCATTTGGAGAGAAATTGCCTGTCTGGTTAAGGAATTTGTGTCTGCAGGGTAGGGGCTGGGCACCTGCTTCTCTTTCCCAGGTTGTTCTGAGAAGCCCATTAGTATAATGTTAGGTGTTTCCATCCTCTTCAGGTTACTAAACCTCTGAGGTAGGCTCAGGCTTATAATCTTAAAATCAGGCTTTTGCACCCAAGAAGCTTACACAAAAGAGGGGCTGAGCCCTGCAGGTGTACAAACCTACCCTCTGGTCCTGTGCGACTGCAGCCTGCACAGCAGGCATTGAGGAGGAAGAGAAGGGAAGGTCTGCGTGGGGCGCATCCAGCTCCGCTTGCACGGGAAGTGGGAAGTCAAGTGTGTTCTGCCCGGTGCTGAGCCACTCTTGGAACTGCTCCTGTGCTGGCACACAGGTGTCAGCTAAGTGTCTGAAACACCCCTGGCACCTAGGGTCCCCTAAGCCTGTCTGAATTCCATTTGCTTCACAGACTACTAGGATCATGGGAGAGAGCATGTGATTTATTTCAGGGTTGTACTTCCTGCTCTGCTTCCCCATTCCCTTGCTTCTTGGATAGAAAGATAGAAAAACAGGGAGATGGTAATACAAAACTCAGATATCCATTTCCAGTAGCGTGTCTAGAACACATCCAGGCGTGAACCACTTTGGCCCACAAACTTGTGGAATTTCCCAGATGCACCAGATGCAGAGCCTGCAGTGTGATGGAGAATGGGACACCTGCATTCCTGGGCTCAGATCTGTACTGGGCACTTGAGACTCCTCCCCAGGCACGGCAGCGGGGAGCCAGCCTGCCAGGCAGGCGGAGGGAGCTGTGTGCTACCGGACTGCGCTCCATGGGTTCCATGCTGATGTCCTTCAGAGGGCCTAGCCCTGCCTGGTGAATTGCTCAGACTGACACTGGCATGCTACTGTAGAGCAGGGGCTCTGATCCCAGTTCCCTGACTGTAAACCTACGCGCTATCCTTATGTCCCTACTGAGCGTAGCTTGGCAGGTGGATGGCTGCGGGCAAAAATTTCTCATTTTTGTTTCAGACTGCGCCACATACCGTACTATCTGCTGAAGTATCCTGTTCAAGCAGTACGAGCCCTCTTGGCTGGATTTAAACCTGCTTTGTATGACACAGATGTGAAAAGAATTCCTTATTCCCCAGAATGGAGTGTGGAAGCGCTGTGGGCTATGATGGAGTTTGTTGAAGGAAAACAGCTCTCTGCTTCTGTACTTGTGAGAAACACTTTCTGTTCTTCTCCTACTTCTTGCCAAGCCTAAGCCTCTTGCTAGCCCTCTTCAGTATAATTTCCTGGTATTTGTTTTACTGTCAACCCGCGTAATTTAAAGTTGTGAACTGTTTACTGTGAAGGAATGCCCATGACAAGAGACAGTCGTGTGGTGCGGCGCTTAATCCTGCACACAGAAAGTTTCTTAGCGCTCCTGTTGTTGTAAAGCTAGTTTCCTTCACTTAAAAGCAGAAATATTCTTTGTATAGTCACGGCTGCTCGTGGGCAGTGAGTATGGCCAGTAAATACCTTTTACCATTGGATAGCTTGAGATTTTCATCTGTTACCATTAAGATTCTGTCAACCTCTGGTTTTCAGGCTCTTTCACCAGAATTCACCATTTCTTTGTATGAAGATGACGGAAGTCTAGTTCATACGAGGCTGATAAAAATGGGACTTGCAGATTTGGATGAGTGACATGTAAGTGGAACTGTGGATTCATACCGTTGTGAAGGGACGATTTCAGAAGTTGTGAGCAAAGTCTAAGCTGTCAGTAATGTTGACACCTAGAATTTATCTTAAAAAAAAAAAATAGCCCTTCTGCCCAGACTTCCAGTCTGTCATTAAAATAAAACGCAGTTAAGAAATCAGATTTCTTTCTGTGCATGTTAGAGAAGTCCACAGTATCACTTTGGGAACTAACAGGGACTGAAACAGAGCCCTAAGGCCATAGAGCAGAAGGAGCTTCTGCCGCTAGTAGCTGACAAAGGGAACTTGATGTGTGCAGTGTGCTCTGCCCGAAATACCCAAATTAACTGGTTTTCTTCATTTCCAGCATCTCACCTCCATGAGCTGTGCCAGTTGTTCTCAGACAGATCCACGATAACATACAGGTGTCCACCCATGAAGTCAAACGTGGAACAATTTAAATGAAAAGCTTTACAGCACGTGTTGTCTGCAGAGTACTGGAGACTTGGATTTCCACGTTTCTTGGCCAGCTCGCTGTTACGTAGTCATTTTCCCTCCCATTTTACAAGCGCTTTTCTAATGGATGGTTGTAGGTAGCGTCCCCAGTGCTTTCGAAGTGTGCAGTAGTGAAACGATATATTCACGTCTCAACCTCTTGACCTTTGAGCCTTTGCTGTAGGTCTGTGACAGCGTGCTCGCAGGAGTAGATGGGATTAGTGCGTAGCAGGGAAGAAGCAGATACAAAGGTAATGCTGGGCACGCTTGTTCTAGTACCTTGTTAGAAGAGTTGGAGGGAAGATGATAGTTTATCAGTTCTGTTTTGGTGATGTCGCTCGTTTGTTTCAGGCATATTTGGTGACAGACTTGTCCAGCTCCAGAGTCTGGAATGGGGAGGGAAGAGTTGGGGCTGGGGGAGTGTTACTACTTTTGTTCTGGAAGATGTTTGCATTGGTGCTGTTTTCTGTTCGGATGGATGTGGTTTGGGTGTCCTGCACCTCCTTCCTACCCCCTGGAGCTGCAGTGTCCATTTGAAAGTGTTGGAATAAAAAGGAGCTTGCTCTGCACACATCCGACAGCTTGTTTTCCTTCAATCCTCTAGTCTGCAAGGTTTCTTTGGGCGTCTCTATTGTGCCGGCGTGGCATGTCCTTCACATTTAAAGCTCAGCCCCTGTCAGTCTCCCCTTGGATAATTTTGTCTAGGCTATCAAGGAAAAAGCATCCATGATGAAGGCTCCACCACCTCTGCCCAACCAGTTCCAGCACTCAGTCGCCCTCACACTAAAACAGTTTCTTCACATTCAGGGGGAATCTCCTACAATCAGTGTGTTCCCACGGCTGTGCACATATGCGCATACCCCGACGCTTGTCTCTTAGCTCAGGATCCCACGACAGCGAGCGTACGAAGCTTCCCGCAGGAGCGCCACTGCTGCAAGGGTAGCTTGCCTGCTCCTACGAGCAGCGGAAGGATCCTTTCAGTTTTAGTACATACTCTGCTATGAATCACACGTGTACTGCGTGCTATTGCAAATACCCTGTAGAACACTTACATACTCACCTTCAAAACGTGCCTTTCCTTACTTTCATTTTGAATGAAAATCTGTGTTTATCAGCCATCTTGACTGGAACATTGCCCCAACTTACAGAAGAGCTGATGTTGAAGATTGCCAAAAAGGCTTTTCCACCCAACCAAGCAACTTTGAGTTGTAAGTGAGCATAGTTCCTGTACTACAAGTTACTCACCCTTGGAGTAACAAAGGGGCACAGGCACAGTGACTACACAGCTTGTTTTGACTGCGGCTAAAGGGGTGGGGGGACAAGGGGAAGAAAGTGAGGATCTTCCACTCTGCAAGAGACAAGCAAATCTGCATGCGCTACACTGGAGAGGTAGAGCAGACAGGCCAGCAGTGCCACTCTGCCTGGAGATACTGTGGAGTTTTGCGAGAAATCAGCTTCAAAATGCCTGTTAGGCAGCAGACTTGGCTGAGATTACCTTGGCTGATTTCTGGATTCCTCTCACACTTCTGAGCAGCTTGGAGAATTAACTTGTCCTAGCCCTACTGACACAGAACAGAGTTCGGGTCTGCTAATGCTGCAGCCTCCTGTGCTGGTTTTGGCTGGGATAAGTTGAGGTTCTTCATAGAAGCTTGTATGGGGCTGTGTTTTGGATCTGTGGTGAAAACAGTGCTGATAACACAGGGATGTTTCAGTTCCCTGCTGAGCAGTGCTTACACACAGCCAAGGCCTTTTCTGCCCCTCACACCACCCCACCAGCGAGTGGGCTGGGGGTGCACAAGGAGTTGGGAGGGAACACAGCCGGGAGAGCTGACCCCAACTGACCAAGGGGATATTCCATACCATGTGACATCATGCTCAGCATATAAAGCTGGGGGAAGAAGGAAGGAGGGGACGTTAGGGGTGATGACTTTGCCTTCCCAAGTAACCATTAGGCACAGTGGAGTCCTGCTTTGCTGGAGATGGCTGAACACAAGCCATGTGAGCAGGGAGGGTGGGAGCGAGCACCTGCGTGGTGCTTCGTTGTCGGCTGGGGTTAAACCACACCACTTCCTAACTGTGAGGTGAAGACTGGAAAGGAATACTGCTGGTATTTTACTCTTAAGTGATACGGACATTCTTAAATCTGGCCACCTGCTGCATTTCACCACAGCAGGGGTATCAAGAGCACAACTCTGCACCTTGGACTGGAGGACCTTTTTCCTTTCATGTCTAAAATAAAGCAGTCGCCAGCTGGTGATAAACT